ATGCGTGGGATACTTTAGGGAGAGCATGGTGGCACTATCTTATCCTCTGGAGAACACCAGACAACTAAAACAGATACTCCTTGAAGAATGAAAATATACAGAACAGTAACTAGGCATTGGTACTAACTGGCAGCTCGTAAAAAATAAGCAAAAGACTATTAAAATAGCAAAATCCATGTTAATAATCAACGAATGCTTCAAATTCAAATTCTAAAATTAAAAATGCTTGATGAGATTTTAAGTGCTGAAAAAAGAAATGGAAGCTGCATGAGGAAATAAAGTTAGAGATAAACACTGAATTTATGCAAAATGATTATGCAGTATTACCGACGTCAGAGATGTTTACTTAGTCAGCAAGAAGAATGAGTAAAAATGCAAAATCGATGATTATTTCGCCAATTTAGTTTCCTCTCAGAATGAAATGAGATCTATACCTCTTTCCTTTCAATGTAGACTTAAAAGAGAATCGAAGATTTAAGAACATAGAAGTAATCAAATTACCCAATCACCTTCAAACGCAATTACAATTGTCTTCAGCTGTGAGCTTCGGCACATAATTTATTCCATGATGGTTGCCACCGTTGTAATTACTGCAATTACCGAGAACAGAGATTGCTATTCTCTTACTGATCCGATCTTTGATTTCACAATGAGAGGACTTCTTTGATCATTTATTTACCTAATGCGTGCTGACAGTTAAATGGTATATTTGAACACGATGATGCTTACATCTTAATTAAATTTCCTAATTATTTAAAGGAAGCTTGTATTTCTTAGGCAGCTGTGATTGACGTATTGCATTTGAGAATGAATGTTTCTAGAGCTGTCAGGAGTTGTAATTTTTAACATCTGTAGGTAGATGCATTTTTATAATTCATTTCTAAAAATGATAAATATAGCAAAAAGGGAATGGAAGCAAAAATAAGTTGAGACTTTGAAAAAAAAAAAAAAAAAAAAAAAAAAAAAAAAAAAAACGAAAATGGTACAGATTTTGTTTCAGCTGATCAGTTTGCCAGCTGGTAGGTAGTAATTATTATTTTTCACTGATAAGTAAATAGTAAATGTTTTATTAGAAGCTTTTTAACACTTCTATGTAAATGTTTGCCAGCTGATATTGTAAGGATCCTAAGTTTTACTAACGTTTATTTTATTTTAAAACTGTACTATCACTTCTTATTTTCTACTTCCGGCCAGAATTCAATGCTTTAACTTGTTTATGCAAATTGTCTTGCTAACGCCCAAGTATTTAAGTTGTGGCTTTTTGCTAAGAGTTAGGGAGAGAGAAGGAGTTTTAAGAATCAAGCCGCTTGCCACTGCAGTTTTACGAGTTTTCACTCGGTTGCTGGTTGCCTTTAAGGCCAGAGGTTTAGCCCTCTTGATGTTTGCAAACGTATTGTAGTTTCAGCAGCTCGGCGTACTACATACGTACCATTTTAAATAAAGGCCAGTCTTAGTGCTAGGCATTTGTATACTAATTCAAAGTTAGCTTTTAGTTAGAGTTTTAGTTAGTAGTTTTTATATTTTTACGTTCAGACCACAAGTGGTTGGTCTCTGTATTCCGAAGATCGGAAGATCCTGTAAAAGATTGAAAATAAAGGGTTTCGTATACCCTTCCTGCTTGTGTCGTCTGTTATACACAAATCTTGAACATAGCTTGAGTAAGCTCCCTGTTCTTATTCAGGGCATACCATGTTTCCAAAGCAAATCAAGAGAAACACAAGTCCTGACAACATTAGATGGCAGTAAGGAAATCAAAATAATTTCTTGGAAAGCCTCCTGCAGGCGTTTTGATTTTATTTATTAAGATTTCATTTATGAAGCGGAGTGGGAAAACTATGGAAACAGCTCGCAAAATGCATGTTTGAACTGAAATGTTTATTCTTTCAAATGCTCTTGGTGGCGTTGATGGGTTTGCTCACTTATGCCACCTGTACAACATCGTCAACATTCGTTACCCAGACAGTTTTCTGTGAAGTTGTTAGTGCATCATGTCGGAGCTAAATGAATTCGAACGTGGGGAAATTGTTGCTGCTCTTAAGGTGAGTGCTTCCGCAAACAAGGTAGCTGAAATGTTTGGTGTATCAAGAGGCACAGTATCTAAGATTTTGTGTTGAGTGATCATGACAAGATCACTGAAGAGGACAGTGATGAAAAATGAGAAGCCTACAGCCTCAAAAGTGGCAGCTTAACTCATATCGCATTCGCATACCCTGTCAGCAAAATAATATGAAGGAAGCTCCACAATCAGGGTATTTTTGGGCAAGCTGCAATTCAAATGCCACTCATCAGTGATCAAAATGCTGGTAAGAGGAGAAAATGGTGCCAAAATCATAACTGCAGAGCAATCGAAAACCTAGACTGCAGAGCAATGGAAGACTGTCATTTGGTCGGATGAGTCTTGTTTCATACTATTTTAGATTTCTTGACGAGTTTACGTCTGCTGCCGAAAGTGAAACCTACCGGGGTGTCGGTCATGGTTTGGGCAACCAAATCGTAGTATGCCATGGGACCCATGACTGCTGTGCAAGGTCACATTTCTGCCAAGGATTACTCGACCAGTTTGGCTGATCACATCCATTCCATGGCACAAGTTTTGTTAGTTTTGTTACCCAATGGCGATACCGTATTCCAAGACGGCAGAACTCATGCTGACATATCTCAGGACTGGTTTACTGAGCATTAGGTTTCACATCTACCACGGCCACCGCAGTCTACAGATATCAACATTATAAATAACCTTCGTGGGTTGCTAATTTTGGAGAAAAATCCGCGTTAGTGCTATCCACCGCCATTATCGTTAACTGAACTTGCGAACGTTTTGCCGGAAGAATGGTGCAAAATTGCTTTGCAAAGCATAAAATACTTCTATTTATCAATTCGGAGAAGACTGCAAGCTGTTTTGAATGCCAACGGTTTTCCTACACCGTAGTAGTCAGAGCAATATGTTTTTATTTCGGTATTTCGATATTTTTATCCAACCCTTGCGTCTGAATATTAAAATTAGTTTCTGCTGAGACGGTTACTTTTTATCATTTCATTGCAATTTGAGACTATTCACATTCAGTTCAAAAATTAGCGAAACCCATTTAAAAACCTGATGGAGATATTTGGAAATTTTAAAATTATGCAAGAAAGCAACCTTTGTATGGCGTAGATTTTGAATAAAACTTTATTAGTTTCTGATAGATACAGTTTTATGCTCTTGAAGAACACTGTTGAAACTCTCACCGACAACCACGTGATTTGCGCATGCGCGCAGTAAAAACTAAAACAGAACTTTTTTACCTGAACTTTGAGAACTCGTGATGGACGTTTGAGTTAAACATGTAATCCTTATCTTCTGTGTTATATATATATATATTAGTTTAGTGATGTGATTGTAAATTAAATATCTTATTATCTTAGAAGCCTCTCTCTTTCTGTGAGTAGTGCATCGATGAATGAAATAAACAGTCCCGGCAGCGTTTGTATCCTTTGGAGATAACATCATTAGATGAATAGTCTAGATTTAGAAATGTGGCAAGCAGCTCTTCTGATGAAACAGAGACTTACTGCGATCCTGATATTTGAAATAACTTGCCTCAAGATCTTAAGAGCGAAAAGATTCCATCGATGACTACAAGAAGTGGTCGAATAGTAAAGCCTGTTCAAAGGTTACAGTTTTAAATTTGATTTTTCAGCAAATTTAAAGGGGGGAGTGTGTTGAAACTCTCACCGACAACCCCGTGATTTGCGCATGCGTGCAGTAAAAATTAAAACAGAACTTTTTTACCTGAACTTTGAGAACTCGTGATGGACGTTTGAGTGAAGCATGTAATACTTATCTTCTGTGTTATACATATATATTTTAGTTTAGTGATGTGATTGTAAATTAAATATCTTATTATCTTAGAAGCCTCTCTCTTTCTGTGAGTAGTGCATCGATGAATAAAATAAACATTCCCGAATGTGCATTTGGATTAGAAAGAAGATCGATTAAAAGGTAAGTCCTTTTACCTTTTATTTTCTAAGAATGATTATAGTGTTAATCATATCATGATTATACAAACACAGACCTGTGCCTGGTTGCCTCAAAATATATAGAGTTTTATTCAAAATTTACGTCAAAAAAGTTACTTTTTTAATAACTTTAAAATTTTAATTGATGTTCTTCTCTTCCTTTGACATTTGAGGGTTTCTAAATATAAATATGTCTAATGCAAAAATTAAAATTGAAAGGAGGTAAGGAAATATCCACTTTAGTTTTATGTTAACCCAGCAGTTAGCAATGTTCTTGTGCAATGAGGGACGAACAAACGTTTCTCGAATCAGCTTTTTTGCTGCTCAAATTGCTAACTGTGACAGGTTGTAGAAAGCATTAAAAATTTCGTTGCGGTTCGAAAGACATATAAGGTCTTAATTTATTGCTATTCATATCGCAAATTCTTTGTTTTTTTAGAAGTAATCTGTGATTCAAAAAATTTCAGTTCGGAAGCGATTTAGTTTACTATCATTTATTTGAGAGGGGGCAATAATAATAAAATTAATTGGAGCATTTCATCACTAGTTAGCATGCATGGCGCTCATGGCACTGATACAAATTACTGTAATCAGGAATATGTTGAATTTTCGCGTTGAATTATAATTTCATTGCCGGATTTGGCGAGAGGATCCGAGATATGATTTAAGATGATCTTTAAATAAGGAAGTTAAAACACATAATTTTATTTATGAATCCTTCATACCTGAGCATACCGTAATGCACAAATATTTCATTATACTGTGCAAAGATTAGTAATCTTTTCAGTTCAATCACAAGTAAACACAACATGTAGGAAACAGTGGCGAGTAAACCAGAAATAGGCAAAGTATTATAGCAGTTGTAAGCGTATGTTTGTTGAGAACAAATGTTGCTATTTCGTTCAAGCGAAATGACTTCAAATTTAGAAATTCTAACAGTTAAGATTTTAGCATGACTAGAATATTAGATGCTTTACTGGTAATGTATTTCAAAGGCTTACCTCAAATTTCTTGATGGCGTTACATACTGTGAGGCACTGCTCCATCTCGTCCGCCCTGTGAGAGCCCGTGCTACGCCGAAGGCCCCCGTGATTTCTCCTCGGTTCCCCATTGCTCGTGGTTCCTGCTAGCTCGGGGATTACACCCTCTTTGACCACGTAATGGATGACGTCCATGGATCGGCGCATTTGGAGAAATACCGTGTCCCGGTTCTCCCGCGCCGTGTCGCAGTCTGGGTGACGAAGGCACGCCTAAGGAAATAATTCAGAATAATACTACAAACGGGAAAACAAATTTTTCTTGCAATAGAAAAAAAATTGTTTGCACAAAAATAATTGTTTCAGATTTTCTGAGAGGATGACAATGCGATCAAAACTATAACTTTTTTATTTTGGGTTTAATTTTGCTGTAATTTAACTACAAGTACCTTTGAGCTAATTTGATTGGAAGTAAAACATAAGACACTTTCCTTAGTAAATTCCATACAAAGTTCAATCTTTGTGTGCTTCTAATTTTTGTAAATTCTGTTTGCGTTAAGAGAATTTGATACAACGGAGTTTAAGAATTGGAAAAATAAGCACATGCTCCCTTTTCAATGAAAAAAAAATCATATACCTATTTGAATAATTAATAGAGCATCATTCCATCTTATACTTTTACTTGATAAAAGAGAATATCAAATACTTTACAAATCCTTGGAAAAAGATTTAATCTTTCTCTCTTTTGGTAGTTTTCAAAATAAACAGAAATTTGGATTAACACCATATGGATTACAAGAGAGTTAAGACAACAGGAATCAGTAGTAACTATTATAGATTTGTACTACTAGTCTGGAAACTTTCGTCACCTTTTTCTACAAGAATGAAAGTGACAAAAGAGAAAGTCGGTGTTCACGAGATGCTAGTGAAAACAATAGACTAGAAAATTACGGATAGTGCTATCAAAAATGAACTGGAGCCATCTATTGATGAAAAATGGAAAAACACATTATAATGAAACAGATGAAAAATGGAAATGTCTTTAAAAGCCATGGGTCAATTCAGAAGAATGGATATTTGTACCTTAACATGCCAGTTTCGTACATCTCCAGTGTTGTATGAAGCAAAAGTGCATTCAGTTGCAATCAAGGCAAATTTCATTTAAGATATTATAAAAATACATTTAACTTTCATGGCATTGTAAAAATACTCTATCATATTTCAGTTCATCATCAGTGTTCCTCAAATGGTGTCCTGTAGAGACTTCTGAAATGTTATAGAAATCAACCATATTAAAGGCAAAGACCGAATGATTAAAACTGATGAATACTGAGAGTTATCCACCCAAGTGGACGGGCCAGCTGCATCACTGTTTTCGTTTATTTCCTCCAGAAAGGCATTTCTACCCTTAGGCAGACAGCCCCATGTGCTTTGACATATTCTAATAATCTAATCTGTGGCTTGCATCACGTCTATATACACTCATACCTATCATATGATATTTTAAAAATTGTGACTGTTTACTGCCGTATTACGCTGGGTAACATTTCTAGCAACGGCTATGCGATCCACAACCTTTCGTAAAGAAGCGCTTACTAAGAATTCATTCCCACATTCAAAATGTTGCATGATGATAGAAAACAGAGCTGAAATTGAGCCGGAGACCACCGGTACTTCTCAAATTTTTAGATCATCTTAATTTTAGCTGGAGTACACTGGAGCTCTAGATAAGAGATCTTTCGTAATTCTTTTATGCAATTGAATCAAAAAGTAGAAAACTCTTTTGATCTCAAAAATTTTATTTTAATAATACGTAAGCCATAGAAATCGATTCTAACTAATGAATACCTACCTGTTTTTCTCTGGGAAAGAAACTCTTTGACAGAGATTGAGACTTTCGAGGAAAACGGCCCCTTCCGTATGACAAAACCATTTTTTTCAGGAATGAACCTGCGATAGTGGATAATTCTTTCTTTCCGGAAAGTGTTAGAAGGTCGACTTCGTTCAGCGTTAATGACTTCCCACGAAAACGAGGACCTTAAGACTTTTGGGAAAGACGTGAATAAATACGGAATATGAAGACTGTCACTTGTACAAAACTTTACTTTTGTATTGAGCCTTTGGATTTTGGGGAAAAATGTTTTTCCCTATCATGTTCCGCTTGTGTTTGCGTTGGTTCACTATAAATGTCGGTTCACTTTTTAAACTGTTGCCACCAAATATTAGAGCCTTGTGTTATATTTGAAGAAATTAAATAATGAAGAATCTGCATAAATGTATGTATATTTCTCTCGCTGTATAAAACAACGGTACCTAGAGCCATCAAAGTTTGAATAACGTAATCTTTCACAGAAGTATTCGTAACGTGCATCGGTGAGAGAACTGACTTGATTGAATGAGAAATTCGAGGAAATAAGTTTAAATGAAATGCAGCAAAGAATGAGTATAATAAGTAGTTCGTACAAGGAAGTCATGTGGTGTCCACATTAGATGTTTAAACATTACTTTCATATTTATTATTTTTGAGCTTAAATAAATTTTCCAATTGGTACTAATTTTCTATCATAATTTTTTTTTTATTTCCACGTTAGTTCATTTTGTATTTCGTTTTTTATGCTATATTGTCTTCTGAGGTGTTTTCATAAAAATTCCATTGCGTCACGTATCCATTTATTTAAATTTAGGTGGAAAGGTAAGCTTAGTCTGACATAGATTTTGAATCAAACTAAGGTTCTTTCTTGCCTAGTTTAAAATTTCACCCTGACTTTTTAAAATTTTTATTTTATCATGCACATTATTTTCAAATATTGACATTTTACTTTCTACACTGAAATTTAAGCTAGTAACAAACTCAAATTTAAGTTTGAATTGAAAGTATTTTCGGTTATACATGGAAAGAAATCCTTTTAAATGCTATCTATGCTTTGCGTAATTTTATTTCGGTAAATACAGAATTGTAACACAAAGGAGCATATTTCCTTTTCTTCTAACACTGAATGAGCTGTTTGGGATATTTATGCTTTCTAATTATTTCGTTAGTTCTTTCTTCTGGTAGCAGACGATTCAGACACGAAACTTTATTCTTATAAGCTGAAGCTTAACAGGGCTTATTAAGTTACATTCTTCTAACAAGTTTTCTAATTAGAAGCTAGAATGATTTATGTTGCTGCATTTTGTTCGCTTTATGAGTTTTCTGTTAATCGTAAATATGTGCTGCTTTTGGTTGCCGAGCACATGAAAATTGGATTAATGTTTCGAATATGATTATAAATTATTTTTCGTTGCCAACTTAGAAGAACATAACGCAGATCCACTCAGACTATGTTTTTTTGGAAAGTAAAACGTATTAGATTCTTCTAACGTAATGCATGATTATGGATATTATAATACCAAAAATGTAATGCCCAAATTAATTGAAATTTCAGGAAAAGAAAGAAAAAGAGAATCCAGGAACAAACTAATAATATGAAACGTAAAAGTGTAATTTAAAGAACATCAGAAATAACAGTTAATTGCTAGAGCTGTAATTGGCTAAAAATAATGTATGAAGCGTGTGTGAAATAAAGATTTTACGATACATGTGTAACGAAAATTACAGGTGTAAGGCACTTGCAAAGAAGAACATGGTAAAAGGTAAAAGACCTGTCAGAACCCAAAAGAGAATAGGGATAAAATCTTTTGTTTGGAATTGCAAGCTTTCAGTGCCTACAACGTTTCAAGATAGAGTCATCTCCCTTAATATTGCACCCCATTGCGATGGATTTCTAGTTTCTAGATTAGCTGAAATCTAAGATGTACGCATCAGATCCGCGAGATTTTGTCGAAACTGAAAGATAGGATAAAACTTGAAGTTATAAGGCATTTATCCCGCCTTCTTATCGAGCCTTCGTGGTGTAGTAGTCTGCACGCTCAGGTTGAGAGGTCGCGGTTCGATTCCCGGAGAAGGCGTTGCATATTTTTCATCTCTTCTGCTTCTAAAAAAACTAATGCCTCTACAAAGTTATACAGATTCCTCTTGAGATGTTACATTCATCTTTGTGGTCAACAATCTCCCGCATGCAGTGTGTTATCATCTGCGAAGGTAGGTACGTCGAAAATTTGTAATTCCAATAAACATTCTTTCCCTCTTCTCTTTCGTATTGTCATAGGTCCTCTTTTGTAAATGTTTTACGCTGGCTATTTTCGTCATATGTGTATCGTTCTAAAGCCAATTATGATTTTCCAATGTGCTAATCAATTTGCGCAAGTAAAAATTGGGTGCTGCCATTCGAAAACTTCGAAATATTTTCCCTGTAACTGTAACAGTGAGAGCTGCATTGTTTTAAATCATCATAATCTCATGCGCATACCACCAGATCTAAAATTTCATTTCGATTGATTGAGCGAAAAGTCTGTTAGGGTTTTTATGACCGGAAATTTTTATGGGAAGTTTTTTTATGTATATTATTGTGAAAAGTATTGATTATGTTTTTCATACAAGAGATCTTATTCGCGGAATCTGACAGAATTCTTATTCTAGAAAACACTGGCAGGCTTCAGTATTATTAGATTTTCAACCTCAACCTCATTTGCATAAATTAAAAATTACAAATATTTCTAATTTAATGACTTTTTGAATGACTTTTAGATTAGGATTCTGAAATAATAAAACTGCATGTAAATATTGGTAACATAACATATTTATAACCTTTAAAAACTTATAAATAATTTTTGTGAGAGTTCCTTCGGTATATGAGATGTAACAAAATCATAATTTCAAAAGCATTACACAACAATAAATCATGAAGGAATTTCACTGAATGGGATTTAAGGAAAAAAAATAACGAATTATTTTCATTCATTTATAAACCGATCATTCAAAGCAAGTTGAAAATGAAATCAAAAATCGCAAATTATACGATTAAATATCTAGTTCAATGTCTGTTATGAAGAAATCAAACTTTTTGTGTGTTTTTTTTATACTGAATTTATAATAATTTTCTTAAATATAAGTATAGGAATCGATGGAATGAATTAATACTCCATTTCGTATTCTAAATGAAATTATTTTTTTAAATTTAAAAATTCTAAACATAAATCTTTAAGTACCTCAAAATAATTTTATAACTGAAAGTCTTTTAGTACCAGGAGGCTTTGAAAAAGAGGACTGGACTTTTCTGGATACAATGCAGAGTCTTTTACAGAATAATCATTTACTCACTGCCTAACAACAAGCTTGTTATATATTTCACAATTAATAAATAGTCTATTGCTATAAATTTTAAAAATCTGGT